ATGATTTTTGTTTTTTCCATAACCTTTCTCACTCACTCACTCACTCACTCACTCACTCACTCACTCACTCACTTTCTTTCTTTCTTTCTTTCTTTTTTTCTTTCTTTCTTTCTTTCTTTCTTTCTTTCTTTCTTTCTTTCTAATGTCTCTGATATTGTATAGGCCCTTTTAATTTATTATTTACTAGTTTTTTCCTAGCCCTTTCTCTCACTCTCTTTTTCTCTCTCTTATTTTCTCTCTCTCTCTCTTTCTTTCTTTCTTTCTTTCTTTCTTTCTTTCTTTCTTTCTAATGTCTCTGATATTGTATAGGCCCTTATAATCTACAAGTCACTAGTTTTTTCCTAGCCCTTTCTCTCACTCTCTCTCTTTCTTTCTTTCTTTCTTTCTTTCTTTTTAATGTCTCTCAAATTGTATTGGCCCTTTTAATTTACTAGTCACTAATTTTGTTTTTCTTCTTTGCCTTTCCTCACGCTCTTATTCTTTCTTTCTTTCTTTCTTTCTTTCTTTCTTTCTTTCTTTCTTTCTTTCTTTCTAATGTCGCTCATATTGTATACGTCCTTTTAATGTACTGCCCGCTGGTTTTGTTTCTTTTTTCCATACCCTTTCTCTCTTTCTTTCTTTCTTTCTTTCTTTCTTTCTTTCTTTCTTTCTTTCTTTCTTTCTAATGTCTCTCATATTGTGTCGGCATAGTTTTTTTTCTTCATTGCTTTCTCTCTCTCTTTCTTTCTCTCTCTTTGTCTCTTACCTTCTTTTTTACTTTTTAGAGCCTTTTAATTTACTCGTCACTAGTTTTGTTTTCTTCTTTGCGTTTTCTTTCTTTCTTTCTTTTTCCACTTCACTAATTTATACTCTGTTTTGGGCCGTGATGGCTGAAACAGTTTGATGCTAGCAAAGAATATTCAATTATTATTTGACTTTCAGATTAAGTTTTCTTCGATCCATTGATAATAGTTCTTCTGTCCGATCATACGGCTGGTTATTTTTTTCCCTTTTGGCATAACTTCCGGTCCAGTCATTATCAAAATCCTTCTTCTTACCTCCCTTTCCCTCCCCTTATTACTGTTACATTTTCTTCTGCCTCCCACTTCTTTCTCTTGTCTTTTCTTCTTCTTTTTACTCCTAATTCGACTTTGTTTTTCTATTCCATTTAACTTTTTGTTCTGCCTATCTCACTATTTCCTTCTTTTCCTTTTCTCTCTAATTTTATCTTCTTTCTTCTCTAATTTCTCCTACCTTTCTTCTCTACACTTCTTTTTTCTTTTCCTCTCTACTTTTTCTCTACTTTCTTTATGATGTCCTCTCTTCTTTTCTTTACACGCTTTATTTTCATTCTCGTCTTTTCTCTTTTACTCTCTACTTATACGTTTTCCCTTTCTTTTTCACTCTCCATGTCTCTTCGTCTCTTTCTCCATGTTTACTTTTCTCTTTTCCTTCACACATGCTCCTTTTTTCCACTTTTCTTTTTTTTTTCCACTTACTTTCTCTTCTTTTACCCCCCTTCTCTTCTTTTACCCCCCTTTCTTTCCTTCCTCTTTTCCTTATCTTCTTTCCGGATCGAATCCCGTCGTAGGGGCACCACATGAACTGAATCCGCGGTAGAAGCGGCGCTTCTTGGGCAAGATAGCCCGACGGAGCCCAACCATCTGCAGGCCGGTTTTGAATTCAGATTTACCGTCTCCTAGAACCCAGTCTATCCTGCAAGGTTATAGAACACAATCTGTCCTGCTATTTTACCCATAGTTGGGGGAAGACGAAGAGGATTCATACCTTTCTCAACGGTATTAGCACGTACGTGAATGTAATGGATTCGACTGGAATTCGAACTCGGCTCTCCAATTCCAAAATCCGAGCCGCTATTCAGTCAGTTATGTGCCATGCGTGATACATACTTAGGTGATCATGTATTTTTTGATACATGACTGACGAGGCAGATTTTTCCCGCAGTAGGTTGCCATTTCTTTCTGCGATAGACCAGTTAAGGCTATAGAACCCGGTTTGTCTTGGTATTTACCTATAGCTGGGGTGAGAAGAAGAGGATTCATACCTTCCCAAGAGTATTAGCACGTAAGTGAATGTAATGGATTCGACTGGGATTCGAACTCGGCTCTCCGATTTCTCAATCCAAGTCGCTATTCCGTCAGGTATTTGCCATGCGTGATACATGCTTAGGTGATCATGTATCTTCGATACATGACTGACGAGGCAGATTTTTCTCGCAGTAGGTTGCCATTTCTTTCTGGCAGTAGATTGTCATTTCTTTCAAGGCTATCCGATCAGTTGCTATCCAAGGCTATAGAACCCGATCTGTCCTGCTATTTACCCATATGGATGGAGGAGAAGAAGATGATTCATACCTTTCACAAGGGTATTAGCACGTAAGTGAATGTAATGTATCCGACTGGAATTCGAACTCGGCTCCCCGATTCCTCAATCCAAGCCGCTATCCATTAATCTGTCGTGCCTTTAACTGTCTTCTTTTTCCTTCTCCTCACTTGTAATAATAAACATGATTCATGGAAATAATTCGTTTCTAAACAGTGAAAGAAGCATTTTTTACTAAATGTTTACCACAGGGTTTACTAAATGAGGTCGTAGGATGACTGGGTGATAAGAAGTGCAGTTTATCATAATATTTAGGAAAGATAAACCTCGACTTGAAGAGGCTAAGAGTATAGGGATCGGGAAAGCATCCTCCCGAGAGTCTTTTTCCAAAGTAGTGGTTCTTGGGAAGAAGTTGTGCGAATTAAACTTCTTCCTTATAAATGAAATGTAAAAGAAATTGGGGATTGTTCCTCCCACTGTATATAGGGGCTTAATTGTGAAGGTTAGAACTAATAGAACAAACGAATATAGTAAGTTAGAACCTTTTACATGGAAGCAAGGAGAGAGTAGCGAGAGGCTTGTGATATTTAGTCCCTGAGAAAGGGGTTGCAGGAAGCATGAAAAGCGATTGGAAAAATAAATTGGTACGAGATGCCATTACTAGCAATACTCCATTTTTGGTCTGATCTGACTCTGGTTTCAAGAAAGAAAACAGGGGGAAAAAAAGAAGGAAAGAAAGATATAGCAGGAGGAATCTGGTGCTTACTGGGGTGGTATAAGGCGCTGGCCATTTTTTCCAGCGTCATCGCGTCGGATCGTATATTTGACTTCCACTTGAAGCCTAGGATGAACTTGCGTCCCAGTAGACACCCAAAGCGACAAGCCTCTTTAAGAGTGCAACCACTTAGAATCATGGGTTGATTGATTCGTTTTTTTTTTACGGATTATCAACCTTTGCCGGGTATTTAAAGCCAGAAAATATTTTTAGATTGTAATTTCTTTTTTGGAGATAGTAGTGATTTTCCAAGTCTAGCTTAGATGAGGCACAAGGCCGAAAGAAGTGGCACCCAGTGAGGATCGAACTCACTACTCATGCGAAACAAGCTTGCTAACCATTACTCACCTCGAGATAGTAATGATTTAGTTTTATAAGTCATAGTAATCGATCCGTAGATGGGTGAGGGTGGGTGGTAAATTCATACCTCTACTGAGAGTTTGGTTACAAGAAGTTTACTATTGCATAACAGTTTAGCGCTCTTTTCTTTATTTAGCTTTTGGAATGCATCTTTTTGCTATCCCAATGCGTACTTCGGATTTCGGTGTCACATTTCCCATCCTATATTAAAACACTTCCCAGACATTTATACTTCTGTACTTCTTTGACATTGACATCTTCAATCTGTAGTTCGCATCTCAGGCTTTTTCTCTTCCTACCAATCAAACATTATAAAGAGACAAATAACTTAAGAACGAAATCAACAACATCTCACCAAATAATATAACTCAATAGTTTCTATATAATAAGTGCGGATGTCAGTGTGTCACTCTGTTACACTTTTTCAACTTTACTCCAAGAAGCCGTAGCTCAACATATACCATTTTGGAATCAGGGCGACTCCGAGAGCAAGCATTCCGGGTTGGATCCAGGTTCGCAATCCTGAAATTGTGGATTCCCAAATATTCATTACAGCGATTGTTTTCAGATTCCGCCATCTTGGCTTCTACTGTTAAAAAACAAAACAAAAAAAACGTTTAACAGCTCATGTTCAAATGAAGAAAATTACTGTTCTCAAATTAGTGTTTCAAAATAAGTGTCCATGTTTTCAACTTTACTCCTAGAGGTCGTAGCCCAACATATCATACTATTTTGGAATCAGGTCGAATCCGTGAGCAAATTAAAAACATTTCTGGGCCGGATCCAGACCCCCAATCCTGAAATTTTGGATTCTCAAGTTTTCATTACTGAGATTGTTTTCGCCGATGTTTTACATTATTTTTTGTGACGAATTTTTTTGTACGATAACAGTTTTTATAAGTGGGAAATAAATTTCAAAATAATCGAATTTATTTCCGAAATCCTGCGAAAGTCAAGGATGAAATGAAAATAATTGTTTGTACGAAAATCAAATTGTCTTTAAATTAAGTGATGGCAGAAGAATTATCGGGGAAGTAAGCTTACATATTAATGCAATACTTAAATGCAGCGATGAATTTTGAGTTCTTTTTTAGTTTATTGTTGCCTATTGCATCTATTCTTCCCTACATGTATCTGTCTATATTTCTGAGATGAGGTATTATGTACACTATTTACATTATACCGATCGGATAAATATGGCGACAAAGATGAGGACAATAGTCCGAATAATGTAAATAATGTACATAATACCTCATCTCAGAAATATAGACAGATACTGAAGTATCGAATAAATATGGCGACAAAGATGAGGACAATAGTCCAAATAATGTAAATAATGTACATAATACCTCATCTCAGAAATATAGACAGATACTGAAGGATCGGATATATAGGGCGACAAAGATGAGGACAATAGTCCACATAATGTAAATAATGTACATAAAACCTAATCTCAGAAATATAGACAGATACTGAAGGATCGGATGAATATGGCGACAAAGATGAGGACAATAGTCCTAATAATATAAATAATGTACATAATGCCTCATCTCAGAAATATAGACAGATACTGAAGGATCGGATAAATATGGCGACAAAGATGAGGACAATAGCCCTAATAATGTAAATAATGTACATAATACCTCATCTCAGAAATATAGACAGATACTGAAGGATCGAATAAATATGGCGACAAAGATGAGGACAATAGTCCGAATAATGTAAATAATGTACATAATACCTCATCTCAAAAATATAGACAGATACTGAAAGGCCAAAACGTTGTAATAAATATGGCAACAAAGATGAGGACAATTGTCCAAATAATGTAAATAATGTACATAATACCTCATCTCAGAAATATAGACAGATACTGAAGGATCGGATAAATATGGTGACAGAGATGAGGACAATAGTCCTAATAATGTAAATAATGTACATAATACCTCATCTCAGAAATATAGACAGATACTGAAGGATCGGATAAATATGGCGACAAAGATGAGGACAATAGTCCTAATAATATAAATAATGTACATAATACCTCATCTCAGAAATATAGACAGATACTGAAGTATCGGATAAATATGGCGACAAAGATGAGGACAATAGTCCTAATAATGTAAATAATGTACATAATACCTCATCTCAGAAATATAGACAGATACCGAAGGATCGGATAAATATGGCGACAAAGATGAGGACAAT